TCAGCAGGGAGAACTGTAAAGGCATGGGCATTGACAAGGAAACGATGAGGAAAACGTAAACAACCTCTCTCAAGTCCCAAATTCTTTGATCTGTTTCAGTTCCAGCGGTGTTACAAGACAGTGTTTTGAAAGGGGCTTTGAATATACATGCTCATCTGAGAAGCATTTCAAATATCTGTAGGTTTCCAAAAAAAAAGAAACACACATTTTTAAGGTGCCTCCCTAGAGGAACACAATTTATGTGACCCTATTTTGCATACTACTGCATCATACTTTCCACTAGAGTGAGATCATTGGCCATCCTTAGTAAAATCTGATGAAGACAGACAGTACCTACAAGGTTTGTGAAAACTGACAAGCAGTACAAAGGAGAAAAATACTATTCGTTTACCACCCAGAGGAAGAGTTAGCGTTGAATTTAATTCTTACGGTACACCACAAAGATACGTGTTACCTAAGTCTGAGAAAACTTTCCATCAGAACTTGCATCTTAGTAAAATATCAGCTAATTCAAATACAAGACAATACTGTAAGAAAGCAGGTTCTAATGGTTCTACTGCTCACAGTAACAAAGCATAGTTTGCTAACAGTGGAAAAACAAAGAAACATCAGAATTTCTGGATATTTTTCTTTTAATTGTTATAGAAAGCTATAAAGAAAACTAAAAGTGTTCCTAATTTAGCATTACAACATCACCCAAATCTTAAGCATGGTTTTTACTGAAAGTGCATTTTAGAAAGCGGCACAACCATCTTATTTTTCAGACCGAAAGAGACATTTATCCAGGATCACCCAGCAGGCCAGGGGCAGAAAGCGGAACAAAACATCGGTCTCTGATAATTCAGTCCTATGTGTTGCAGGGTATCTTTTTCTCCAGTGTTCACTGATGACAAGTGCGTACCCTGATGAACAGCACTGTTACTTCAGGTTAAGAATAGAATTTTTAGCAGAAAAAGCACTATGTTTAAAATATCCCCTTTAGAAACACTGCTATTTGACTGGAATATTAAACAACATTTGGAAACCTAACAAAGTCTGAGAGCTTTTCTGGGCACGTTGCTAATAGAAGCGATTCCTGAATTTGGCAGAAACATTCCTCTTAAATTCAGACTATAACACTGAGAATATAAGATATGTTGTGTCGCTAGAATAATCATATTAATGTACCACAGAGCCTCTCAAGTTAAAATTTCCCATCCCATTCTTCTGTCTTTTCAACACTTCACTGCCCTTTGACTACACGGGGCAGAAAGCACATGCCCCTTGTACAGAAAGAACACTTGCATATCACCCAGGGTAAGTCCGGGCAGCACAACAGAGCGCATTTCAGAAGTGTGAAAGCTAGTGTAGGTAATAAACCCAGGAAAGCAAAAAAATCAGTGAGACAGCCTTTTAATAGGGGTATTTAGCCCCCTCAAGTGACCATATCGCTTCCATTTCCAAGCCAGCTCATGGGTCTCTGCATGGCACCTGTCTCACACAAGCAGATCTGCAGTCTGGCATCTGCTTATTTTTGTTTTTTATGGGTCATGTGTACAACCAATTACGTAGAAGAAAATCCACTTCAGATGTCCTTCATTACAAAGGTAACAACCATGATTCAAAATGATCCTGAGGAAGAGTAGAAGAAAAGGAAGTATCGCCAGCCTAGTAGGTATATTCTGGAGAAGGAATTTGTATAATCACAAACACCTTGTCTTAACCAGAGTGAGTTATTTTTTCCTCTAAAAATGTCATATTTTATCCATACTTTTTAAATTGTATCAAAGCAAGAATTAGCATTTTAAAAGAGCATTATAGGTTTATTTGAAAGGCCAATGTTCTACTAGTAAGCCTTTCCCCTCACAGTTTGGAGTTGAGCTGTACCAGCATCTTTTCCAGTCTCAATGCTAATGTCATATTACCACTAATCCTTAATTTTCCTGACATGAAGGCCATGGTTGGCTTTAGTTTACCTAAAAGGAAGAACAGAGACATCATGAGAAAGTCACATAGGAAAGAGTAATACCATTACAGTAAGATCTACCAGTTCTTTACTAATTCCTCTTTGATTTGCTCTTGGTATTTCATCCACGTTAAAATGCTAAATCACACTCTTTGGTTAAATCTCATCCCCCTCAAATGTCTCAGTCTAGCAAACTATTTGCACATGTAGACAATTCAATAAATTTATTGAAAGCCTTTGCTGAAAAGAACAAGGCTGATTAGTGTGGAAGAGCAAATTCTCAAAAAATACATTCAAAAATAACTGAAGTAGGACTTCACTAGTGTTCAACTTACTTAATGGGTAATTTCTTTTACCATGATTAATCTATTATCTTCTGATTTTGGGGGGGGGGATTTTTTAAAGGAAGTTCAAAACCATTCTGAGTAGTGATAAACCTGGAAATCAGAGTTATGAAAGAGTGACATTGCTCCTTGTCCAACAAATAAATAATAAATTTTCACCATTAAAATTCATTCTAGAACTAAAACAAATTCACTAAGAGTGCAAAATTGCACCACATTGTGTATGCTATCACTTAGAGATTAGATTACAAATGATCCCAACTGAGCCAAGATCATGTAACTCAGGCCTTGGGGAGAAGGGGAAAGAAATAAACTAGTTCAAAGCATTTAAACATTTAAAACATTATCTTATTTATTAGTTTCATTTATCAGAGATTAAATTTCGGGGCATGAAACGAGACTATTAGGTTTTTGTTGATGTTGAAATAACAAAGACATGAATACAAAAATAAAACATTTCACTGTTTGCTTGTATCAGTGATTTTGAATAAAGGAAACATTTTGTATGCTCTCTGGAAGCAGCATGCATATTCAGAATATGTAGGAAAAATTAGAGATGTGGAAAAAGCTCAACAGCTTGATCGAATCCTTTGAGGCTGCACTTGCTGCTAGAATTTCTATAGCTACTTAAAAGCAGTAAAAACATTTATCCTCTTTTTGTTCTCAGAATATAAGAGTTAAGAAAGACTGAAGGGGTTACATCCTACTTTCATTTGAGCCACAAAACACTTAAAGCTCATCCAATTATGGAATCAAAAAAGAGAGCAGGCTGTCTATTAATCAATCGTGTGAATGACTTCTAGGTACAAGTAACTGCATCCACTTTGTTAAACGTATTTGTTACTCACCTGTGAACATTTTCACAAAGTCAGCGCTTGACATGCTCATAACTACATCAGCCTTCACAGGAGGCTTGCCACAACCAGCGCTCCCACCTTTGGTTTTAAGGTCAATGTACCAAGTGCCTCCATCATCACCTGAACAGAACAGTGAAAATATGCAACAATGAAGCAGCAAAGAGGGTTGTGCCTTACTCTTTACCATCAGTCAGACAGCTATTTTCTTTTCACATTTTGTATAATTATATATGCTATTTACCCTAAAGGTACTTTGCAAGAAATTAACACTTTCCCCACACTCTCTGTATAGGCAAAGCCAGGCTTTGGCAGATGCTCCATAATACCACATTTCAGGACACGTGGGCAACAAAAGAACCCAAAGGAAACAGGTTGCTGAGAGAACTACTGGCAGCTGGCACTTTTAACATATCCCTGGACCTACTGAGCAACCCCAACATATCATCCTTCTAACCCTGTGCAGTGTTCAGCATTCTGACAAAGTCTGCCTGCACACACCACACATACATTGTGTGTGAAATAAAATGAATA